CTCCTCCATAAATAGTTGATCTTTGGTTTTGCCACACGCTACTCGAGCCCATTTTGGATCTATGACGTGATCATACGATGGCAGACCAGAGGTCTTGTATTTACTACGACAGAAGTATGGTCTATTTTCCTTCCTGCCTTCATCGAAAAGAAGATCTTGTTCACTGCAAAGAGTATCCTTCATGATGCTACTTGGAGATGTAAGGAACTTGCTAGGCGTCTCAGTTTCGAACGGTTGGATCTTTTTCGTAAATCCACCATTTGGCAGATGGTTGGCGGTCCACGTGGAAAGTAAAGATTTCCTTGCACGTTTTGGAGGTGGTGACTGTGCTGACCTTAATTTTTCATTTTCAATACTAGGCGAACTATTTCGTACATTTTTTCTGATATTGGTACCTCCAATCCCTTTGTTGGTTTGCACAGCTTTTACGACTTCTGAATCGTTGAGTTGTTCTTCATGAATTATTTCTGCCAGGTCTTCGGCAAGGCTAGACGGGCTGGACGGCTCGTACCGTCGACCATCACGTTTCTTGCCAATTTCAGCAAGGGCATTCTTAAACGGAGTGGGTGTTCGTGGGCCTATTTTACCTTAAATTTAAAAGCAAAAGACGTGAACTTTAAGCAATTATTTAAATTGGATACAATTGGGCGCTATACTCACTCTTATGGGGCGTTTCAATAGATGCAGTTTCAAATTCTTTCTTGACCTCTATTCCCAAGACATTATATATCTTCATAACTGGCGTGCTTGCGCGCAAATTCATGTCTTCAAATGTGGTTAAACATGGAGATTTGAGAAATCGGCTGGGGGAGAACGGTAATGATTTTATGGGAGTTATAACGGGTGAATCCGGCTGTCTAGGGTTGGCTTCATCAAACGAAAAATTAATCAATGGACATTCGGGAATGTGTTTGCGAGATCGTTTCAAGATGTTTGGTGTTTGCCGCTGAAGTGGAATTGTTAGACATTTACCAACCGGATGATGCATATTAATAGTTGAGTAGCGAATAAGCGGCTCAGTTCCAGCAGAATCCACCCTCTCGCTGTGCTCAGCTGTTGTATTTCTGGTACACAGGATTCCATTATCTCTAGATTGAGATATTTGTTCCATTTTTGGTGCAGAAAGTCTGTTATTTTGCAATTGAGATTGCACTTTACCAATACCACCAGCTTTAATTAATGTAATTAGATGTGTTCGAGAGCTTTTCAAATCATTTCCAGTAGCATTAACAGATCTACGCTCGGCATCATATTTACGGCGCATTGTCGAATTCCAGTGATTTTTTATTGCATTATCAGTGCGTCCAGGCAGAAGTTTAGCAATTTTGGCCCATTGGTTTCCTAGTTGAATGTGAGCTTGATAAATAATAGTATCTTCCTCTTCGGTCCAAGCAGTTTTCTTTATATTCGGATTAAGATGATTGTGCCATCGTTCCCGGCATTGCTTGCCAATTCGTCCATTTAGATATCGAGCAATCAAAGTCCATTTTTTGGGTCCAAAACTTCGCACGAGCTCAATAACCTTTTCGTCTTCATCCCGTGTCCATGGCCCTTTAATGAGTTCTGGATTCAAGACCTTGGCCCAACGTTGCTGCACCTGCTGCTCAAGTCGATCTTTAAAGTGAGGCCCAATAATCTCCCAACGTTCGCCATGTTGCTCAACTAATGCTTTGAGCAAAACATCTTCCGATTTTGACCACCGCTTTCCAAATCCGTAGTTCGGATGTCCAGAGCCATTATTGTTCGCAACCTTTATTTGAGTTCCCTTCGGAGGCTGTTCCGGATTGTCTTTGTGTGTTTTACATTTGATTGCCAAAGAAAGCAAGTAGGAGTCTGAAGAAACATTGATGCTGGCATTGACGGCGCCAGTAACATTTAAATCTGAAACGCCTGCATGACCCACTGTTGTAGTTGTGCTGTGGACTTCATCGTGTTCCGAATATTCGGACTCATCCGATTCTTCAAAATTTTGATCAAAGTCTAATAAGTTATCCTGCTCACCGATTGTATTCGCCATACTAGCGACTTATTTGATTTAATTTTGCTTCCGGGGCGAACAATAGTGATAAGCTTCTGGGTGCACTTTCTCCGCACATATATAATAGTGGACGTCGCGTAAGCAGTATAAACACTTGGCACAACCGCCTTGATTCCGACTATGGTAAAACGTGTAATGTGAACAAACGTCGCTAAAAGTGGTGTACGCAAATTTCTCACAACATGTCAAACATTGAACCAGCTGACCTTGTACGCGGTAATCGACGCGTAGAATTGGATGGGTCGCATCACTCTCTGTGTAATCGGAACGTTCTTTTATATTAATATTTGATTGTTGATTACACCAGTTGGAGCCATTTTTAAGACCACAGTTATTATGGGGCCTATTTACGGACATACTCATCCATTAATAATTGAAATAGCGTTTTACCTAAAAACGCTTCATTCTGCAACCTTAATAAAAGCTATAGACGTAAGATATTGTAATGCTAATTTTTAAACTAGCAGATATTTCCTTAACTTTTTTCTTAAACGATTTAGAGCATATTCTTCAATGTTAGATCAAGGCGTCGATTGAAAATTATTATCGAAGAAAATATTTACATTTACTCAATTTGGAATGGTGAAAAGGATACACTAACGAGAGTACCCACGATTTGTTCAACTGATTATGGTAATAAAAAACCATGGTCCAGTTTACAGAAACTTTTGGGTATTTTATACCCTTGCGTTTTAGTAAAAAACTGACAACATTTTCGAACAACATACTTAATAAATATTGGCAACTCACAGAAATTAAACTCCAAAAATCAGGCAGGCTCTGGTTTTCACTTACTTATGCGTTTTCGGCCAAAAAGTTAAATGCCTTTTTCACAAATTAGTATCTTCAATATGTTTCATTTTATTATCGTTTATGGCAAACAAATACGGCTGATCAATGTATCACTGTACACAGCGTGATAAAAATTCCTTTTATATATTTTTTCAATTGCTTGTTTTTAAGCAAAACGACGGCAGTGCGCGATTTAAGAAGATCAAGACATCGTATATGCAGCACCTGTGTATTTAACATGTCTGACGAATTGCGAGTAGCAGCATGTATATTGAAAATGTAATTGCTAGTGGTAAATAAATGCATTTTTTGCACCTACATTTTGAATTAAATGTGACGGGAAACCGCTGTGCCTACCCTGATGTTCTGTGGCGCACATGTTACGAGCACAGCCTGTGCTGTTACAAGCACATCTGTGCTGTTATGCGCAAACATTAATTTCTTGCCAACGTTCCGAAAACCTAATTGGACTGCTTGAGATGTTTGCACATAAACGAAAAGTGTTGTTGCCATGACCAAATGTTTTTTATGCAAATTTGATTTTGTGATAAGAAAAAAATAATTTATAGAGAAGACCCTAGATAAATTTCCCTGGTAATGGTGTCAAATTTATGTTGATGAATCAATGTCATATATTTTTTTTTTCGTTTTGCATTTGACATCGGTTTTTTCATATAAAAGCCGTCTCCTTGTCATCTGGTCGAGGAAAATAATTCCACAAACGTGACCACCAATTTGTGCGATTTCAAAAGTAAGTGTACAATTTTTTTGTAAAGGTGATAACAGGAAACTTCCCATATAACACACTTTCATATTGATATACGATTTTCTTCAATTTTGTATAGCCGTATTCCACTGATACTTCAGATATTTTTTCAGAGCACGACTTTATCAATGAAATATCAATGCCATACCAGAGCATAGATACCTGTAACTCCCACTGCATCCTGTTCCATAAGGTTTTTTTTGCTGGTCTCACACTTCCATTTAAGTGTAATGCAATACGACCACAAGCGCTGTAAATTTTATGATTCAAGCTATTAATTTAAAAATGAATTCCCCATTGAGACTTGTAAATAAATGTTATTATTTTTAGTTAGAATTTGTATCGGTCATCGCAAATTTGAAATTTGGTGTTGTTAAGAATGATTTGCCAGCAGTTAAATCGAAGTATTTAGAAAACAGTTCATTATATATATATATATGTCCAATGTCCAATTATACTTATTTAAACATAAAACAACCGAAAATTTCGCTATATGCGATAGCACGAGCATGGCTGATAAGTAAAATATTGAAGCATATCCATCGGATGAAAGGCGGCGTTTGTTTTTTTAATGTTGAACTTTACAGGCTTTGCACACTGAGCACATCCCGTGGTAATACCGTTTCACACTGGCACCATCAAACCTCCGTCAAAATAAAGATAATAAGCATAAAATAACAAAGTTGTGGTCTAGATTGTGAAATTTCAAGTTTTAACTTAGAAAATTGGCTATTGCATTGCATTGCATATTGCATAATAAAAAATCCATACATGTACAATAAACGTTACCCATTGAACTTTCTTAAAAATTGTCGCAGCTCTGTTTGGAAGTTGGTTTGACTTTGGTTGTATGGAATTTGCAAGCTACTAGGCAATATGGTTTCCTATGCTCCTTCCGAGCAATCTCCAGAAGATTGTCGAGTCTAATCCGCTTCGGTGCTGCGTTTTGGTTGCATAAAAAAATACTAGAACTGCGGTTGGATCTGGCCTGGTCGACATAAACGGAATTATGTCGGGACTTCCTCAAATCCGCAGTTTTGTTATGCCAAATATTTAAGGTGATATCTATAATCTATGCAGTCCACTACAACATACATGTATCGTTGGTTTATTTAATGGCTCTAAAATACTACTCATATGAAACAGCAAATACAATTGCTGATGCGAAATATTTTTTACTGCCATTAATTTTTTTGTATAGGCTATTCACACTGACGACCATCGACGATCTATTTCTTGGATGGTCGATGCGATATTTAGCCGATGGTTTTCAAGTTCAACTCTGAATAATTGTGATTCACAACGAAAAATGGTATTAACTGCGAAAATGTAAACAATAATTGTGACAAAAAATTAAGAAAAAACAGCAACAATAACAGCACAAAACAGACCATAAACAGAAAATATTCAAATAAATATAAGATGAAAGAAGCAGCAGAAAATGTCAGTGGTAAGTTTAATAGTAAATATTATTATGTTTGACAAACAAGAAATTGTGACATTATTTTTACACTGCAGGAATGAAAAACTAAAATTGGATTAAGCGAGTGTGCTATTCTAAACTCGTTCGATCTTTCTGTATCCACAACGTGGAGCAGAACACTGTGCGCAACCACATTAAGTTAAAAGAAATATATATTCTTAACAATATATTTATAAAGGGTCTTAATTGCAGATCGGGCTGAACTTTATACGGATATCATCGAGGTCGACCTGTTCGGACCTGTTGGCATCAGCTGTTTTTGATGGATGGTTAAAAATCGCATACGAAAGGGCGGGCTATAGGCTCTGCACACCGAGATAGGCTCACGGCGGAACGTTTGAATTTTTTGAAATATGTGAAAAAACACCTGATACGCATAAAATACCAAGGTTTTTGTCTGAACAGGGAAATTGATACAATTTTATATTAGTAAATTAGGTTTTTAATGGCTTTAAAAAACAATTTAGTCATAAAAAATCAAATACATACAAGTTAACGTACCCAATTCTATTGACGTCTTATACGAGTTTTAAATTGTAATTTAATCTTATCTCAACCTTTGTCTCCCAACCATAAGCTCAATCATTGGGTTCCGTCTAATTGATTTTTAAGATTTACAAAATCAATCTATGGCTTTCGCAACAATCTCAACCTGTGGCACTCTCCTGAATAGATAAACAATCTTTGCCCACACCCGTCTTCTGATAATAAATCTCACACCCTTCTTTCTGCAGACCCTGCTCATTGAGTATTTTAAAGTTTTCAATCTTCTGGATGACGAAAGCCAATATTTGGGATGACGAAATCAAATCGGAGTGCTTATAGAAAAATTATTTTCGAAAGGGGTTCCATGCAGAGATCGAAGAGTTCAAATTACTCTTGATCCTGAAGCGAAACCGAAAAGTCGAACTAAAAACTAAGATCGCGCAAACCCTTTTTCCGGAATCTTTGTAATTCCTAAATTAAGTCTATATCTGTGAAATAAGAGGTAAAAAAACTATTGAAAAACGCGATCCGCTACAGTTTTTATTTAGTTTACATACCTATTACCTACGTACTATTTTTTACTGTTTTTTAGAGTTGCATTTGCAAAGTATCTGCTAAATATCGCATAGAAAATGGCGGCCTAGGAAAATTCCTGATGGATGGTAGAATACCTGGGAAATATTCGAAACGGCAAAATCGTACGGACAATCGCCGAAATGGATGGTGGATGGTCGTCGGTTCCCATTCAATGGATAACGCTTTAGCGACATAAGCAACATGGGGCTGTGCATTACCATGGGGCAAAATAACTTTTTCTTGTAATTTTTCATTTTTAACGTTGTGAAATGCTTTATTCAGTCACTCTAAAATATCTTGCAAATTCTTATTGGGTCTGACAGCATCTTCATCCAATAATGCTATTAATTCTGCATCTTCAAATATTTTTAATTTGCCTGGGACGCTCCTTGTCTTCCACATTGATATCACCACTCTCATACCGTTGAAACTATTTGCGACAAGTTCTTTCAGAAAAGCAGATTCTTTATATGATTCCACAACCATTTAGTGCACCTCAGCCGCTGATTTTTTGGAACTCAAACCCGATATCAGAATTTCCCGCAAATTACGCTTACTTTCCTCAAATATGACATTTGTACTCACAATAAACTGTATAACGCCGCAGTCCACAACTATAATGACCAGGAATTGTTTAGAGACGCCTAACCTTATCTTGCAGTCTTCTGATTGGCAAAATTTGCCAGAAATTACCACGGTTTTCAATTTGTACACAAAATATTATAAAAAAAAGAGCAACCAGATATGTCTCTCACATTTACGGACACATTCAGAAATATGCGAAAATGCAATAGGCAGATTCGCTGACCGTGGGAGCACCACGGGGTGACCGGATGACAGCCAGCATCGGATACCAGACACGGGGCGCAATGGTAGCGTTTGTGCTGAACAGTGTCAGGTCTGGCGGCCTGGCGAGTGCTCGAAATAGGGAAGTTTATGTATCATAAGTTAGTGATTTAGTCTTTAGTGATCCGCTGAGTGACAGTAACACATACATATGTACTTGCTTTGCCTTCATTAAATAACTCGCCAACATCTGTATTTCATTTATCAACTAAATTATCTATTATTAATAAAGTGATTCATTCCATTTTTTTGTGGAAATAAAAAAAGTCGGAAAATTAAAAACCAAAAAAATAAGTGAAAATAAAGTACATTGGTTGCGGAGAAAACGCCTGCTCGTGGAAGAGTGAAAATAAACTTCTGAAAATCAAAATACCAAAAAAAAAAAAAACAAAAACTGAAAACAAAATAAACATTCACCAAGGAGGCAACAGACGCAAACAAATTTCGAAAGAAACAAAAGCAAAATCTGTACCACCAAAATGGACGGCTTTGGGCAGCGGTGACGGTAAACGAGATAAGACACGGCTCAACAATTGAAGACGAGCTGCTAGAAACTTGTAAAATACAAAGTAGAGGCAAACTAGGAAGATAAAAATGTAATTGAAATATGTTATTAATATCGCTGACAAATTAAAGTTCATTTAAAACAAAAAAAAAACGAGGGGGAACGTTGTGAGTTGCTGCGGACACCGCAACTCTACAGTTATACCCGATACTAAGTCAGTATGGCTCTCCTCCGGCAGACGCCGCTAATATTAAACGACACGACAAAGAGTGCGTGCGAGAGAGACAGAAAATCAGTCTGAGCGTGACGTCGGGCGCTGCGTAGCCACTGCAAATTGATTTGTTCCTTTTGGCTATAAAAATGATCTGATCTGATTCAGATTCAGCAATCTAATAGATATGGTCATTATCTATGATTCTGCGTTTTTAGTTTTCTCAAATCTGCAATATTGTGGATGCAACAGATTTTCGTCCTTTGTGGGGGCGGATGGGGGTAAGGCGAAATTCTGAGATATACGTTTTATAGTGACATCTTAAAGGAGTGTGTGTACCAAATTTGGTTACTCTAGCCTTAATAGTCTCTGAGATTTGTGGTTGCCTCAGATTTTCGTCCTTTGCGGGGGCGGAAGGGGGTGTGGCGAAATTTGGACATGAAACGGTCAAGGTCCGATATCACAGGAGTGTGGATACCAAATTTGGTTGCTCTGGCTTTTATAGGTTCTGAGATCCTTGAACTCATATTTTGCAATTGGCAAAACCGACCATGAAACCTGTGTGTTAGAGTGAGACAGAGCGAGAAAGAGTGAAATTGTTTTCGTGATTCTGGCTGTAATAATTATACGATCTGGTTCAGATTTTGCACTCTAGAAGATATAGTCATCTTCTACGATTCTGCGTTTTTAGTTTTCTCGTATCGTCGAAATTGTGGATGCCACAGATTTTCGCCCTTTGTGGGGGCGGAAGTGGGCGGGGCAAAGTTTTGAAATATTTTTGGAGCAGTGACATATCACAGAAGTCTGGATCCAAAACATCGTTGCTCTAGCTCTTATAGTCTTTGAGCATTAGGCGCTGAAGGGGACGGACAGACGGACGGACGGACAGACGGACAGACAGACATGGCTCAATCGACTCGGCTATTGATGCTGATCAAGAATATATATACTTTATGGGGTCGGAAACGATTCCTTCTGGACGTTACACACATCCACTTTCACCACAAATCTAATATACCCCAATACTCATTTTGAGTATCGGGTATAATTATTCAGTAATATTGTTTAGTATTAGCTAATCGAAAAAAAAAACTGTTGGAAGCTGCCAAGTTTTAACAGTAACTCTGACTCCACATTTACAAATTAAAATTTGGCGTTTATTGTTGGATACTGTTTTTGTGTTTTTGTTAGAAGCCGTGGCCGTGAACTTAGATTTAGGTGTTCGCTTCGACGATGAAGACCGACTGTCTTTTAGGTGCTAGGTGAGGGAGCGTATGCTCCACCCACATTTTTTGCCACCCACCATTCTCTTCCGTTTTCTTTCCCACTGGAGGGACCCCGATTTCGCAGGTTGGTTGAGTTACCTATTAGTTACCTACCTAGAATAAGTCCTGACCTTTTCGTATTTTCATCGATTTAAGCATCGACTTTTCAGTCCTAGGTTAAGGGGTGGCGGGATGGAGCCACGAAGGCCCAAGTTCTTTAATTTTCGTATTATACGGCCTGAGGGGCCTCTAAACACTAACAGTCTCTTGTCTTTATAAAGGGGAGGGGAAAGTCGGGATCACGGCAGACGCCACTGGATTTTTGGGTTTGGTTTGGTTATCTCAGCAAAATCAGCTAGCCCAACGACAACTATGAAGCAGCGAAAACCCAAAGAGAGGAAGCGGCGAGGTCCAGAAACAACCGAAAAGAGAAAACGGAGCACCAAGAACCGTAAGCGATAAGACAAGCCAGCCACAGCAACAACCACGCTCCAGCAGCGGAGCGGGATAGAGCAAAACGCAGCAGCAGCAGAAAGGAGAAGCGAAGGCCACTGACCGTATGGTCCCCGTAGTTCGTATTCCAACTGGGTCCCGACGTCTAAGTGCCTTCGGCGAGACTCATCTGCACGAACCGTGCGGTTCCAGGCCTTGAAGTTGGCCACCCCCACCCTCGAAAGGGCCACCTGGTTGTCCCCTCCAGCCTTTTCAGGGCGCCCGCCGAGGCCCTCCACACGCCACCCCTTGCCACCGTTCTCCCCCTCGTATGACGGGTCCACCGTCCACCATTGTAGGTCAATACTCGGAGTCCCGGCAAATTACAAATATGGTTGTAGTTTCGACCCTTGAGAGATGTGTACCCCAGCCAGGATCACTTCCTTACAATCATTAATATATATATTTCTCTGAAAAGGTAATACTGGTAGCTTTATTCAACCATTTAAAATTTTGTATTTTTTTAGTTTTATACATTTTGTTCGTGTTTTAAGTTGAAAACGAGGGGGAACGTTGTGAGTTGCTGCTGTGACCGCAACTCTACATTTATACCCGATACATACTTATGTAGTCAGTATGGCTAGGTTAGGTTGAGGCGGCTGCCGGGCTCTCTCGGAGCCCGTCACACTTAGGCCGCTTTCGGCCCATTGTGATACCGCATAGGATCTTCCCTTCCTGCGTTGTGAGACTTCCTGTCAGCAATTTTCCCATCCAGATGCTCTCACAAGGTTAGGTTAGGTTAACCCGGACGGCCCTCAGCGGGGCCACGCATAGGCCAATATGGCCCTTAATTATCCGGATGGGGGGGTGTATGAACCGTCGCGGGAGTGTTAATGTTGTTTTAAAAGTCCCCGAGAATCAAGGTGTTTTTAGCATAGGCCAGCAGTTCCTGTGGCGTCCTTTTGGAGGCATCTTCCAGTGATGCCAACACTGTCGCGCCCAGGTATCTCCTCCTTGCCCTTGAGAGAGCCGGACAGTTGCAGATGAGATGTTCCAGGGTTTCGATAGCCCCAGGTTCCTCACATTTCCTACAAGTGTCTCTGTTGGTGATGCCTAGCTTTGCTGCATGTGCAGCAGCCAGACAGTGACCTGTTAGTATTCCCACTAGCAATCTACAGT